CACACATACAATGGCAATCCAAAGTAGCCAGACCCCAAAATTCCCTAGTGTATGAGTATGTCCTTTATATAAATTTCAAGAACAGGGAAACTAATCAATGGCAACAGTGGTTAGAATAATGAGTTCCTATAGGGAGGAGAGAGGGCATAGAAACTGACCACACAAGACCACACCACTCTGTGGTGCTGGCAAAGTTTTCTTTTTGACTGGTTGGTAGTTTTATCGGTTTTAATTTGTGAACAACTCACTGTGATGTAAACTTCTCTCTTATCCTTTTTGTTTATTATGGTGCACAAGTTTTTCCAAAAAGTTAAAAAGATAGTGAAGAATACATTACCAAAATTAAAAACAAGCAACCCCCAAGAAAAGAGTATAGTTATAATTAGGTCTATATGTGTTCATCTGAAAAGATGCCTGAGGGATGTAAGGGAAATTACCAATTGCAGAATTTGAATAGATGTCTGGATGTCTGAGGTATGTAACACTAGTTGTAGAAAAGTATCTGCAGTATGATCTTATTTGTGCAAAGTAAGAGAGAGAGAGAATTTCTGAGCCTATTTCTTTGGAGCCAAACCCAAAATTAGTCGAAAGAAACTTTAAAAATCAGAGCAGAAATAAACAAAAAACAGACTAGAGACCAATAAAATAAAAAGTTGGTGAGGTTTTGGTTTGTTTGTTTGTTTGTTTTTGTATTTTTCTAGGGAAAGCATCTTGCTCTGTCACCCAGGATGGAGTGCAGTGCCTCTGTCGTGGCTCACTGCAGCCTCCAGCTCGTGAGCTCCAGAGATCCTCATTCTTCTGAGCAGCTGGGAATACAGGCATGCGCCACCACACCCAGTTAAGGTATTTTTTTCTTTCCTTTTTAAAATATGTAGTATTTTTTTGTTGCCCAGGATGGTCTCAAACTCCTGGCCTCAAGTGATCCTCCTGCCTTGGCCTCAGCGCTAGGATTACAGGCATGAGCCATTATACCTGGCTGAAACATTGGTATTGTGAACAAAACAAAATTGACAAACCATTAGCTAGACTAACTAAAAAAATAAGAGAGAAGACTGAGATAAGTAAAAATGAGAAACAAAAAAAGGAGACTTACAATTGATGCCACAGAAATACAAGCAATCATTAAACATTATTATTAACAACTTATGTCAACAAATGGGAAAATCTAGGGGAAATGGATGAATTCCTGGACACATACAACCTACCAAGACTGAACCAGGAAGAAATAGAAAGCCTGAACATACCGATCACTAGTAACAATATTGAATCAATAATAAAAAGTCTACCATCAAAGAAAAGTCCATGATCAGATGCTTTCACTGCTGAATTCTGCCAAAGTTTTAAAGAACAAAAAAGACCAATTCTTTTCAAGCTATTCCAAAAAATTGAAGAGGGGGAAATTCTTCCAATCGCATTTTATGGGGCCAGCATTATCCTGATATCCTGACAGCAAAACCAGACATAAACACAACAACAACAACAAGAACAGTACAGGCTAACATCTCTGATGAACAGAGAAACAAAAATCCTCAACAAAATACTAGCAAACAGAATCCAGCAGCACGTCCAAAATATAATCACCATGATCAAATGGGATTCATCTCAGGGATGCAAGGATGGTTCAACATATATAAATCAATAAGTGTGATACATTACATCAATGGAACGAAGAAGAAAACATATGATCATCTCAATAGATGCAAAAAAAATTTGACAAAATTTAACATCCCTTCATCATAAAAATGCTCAACAAATTAGGTGTACAAATCAAGTACCTCAACACAGTAAAGGTCATATACAAAAAAAATCCACAGCCACCATCATACTGAATGGAGAAAATTAGAAAGCTTTTCCGCTAGTAATTTGAGCATGACAAGCATGCCCAGTTTCACCAGTCTTTTTCTTTTTTTTTTTTTTTTTTTTTTTTAGATGGAGTCTCTCTCTGTATCCCAGGCATGATGTGTTTCTCTGGGGTTTGGAAGTCTCAAAATGCTCAGGGTAGAGAGGTGAGAGAGCTGTATTGATGAAAATTAAAATACGTCATTTCTAGGTAATAGAAAGATTTACTGTGTTATTCTTTTAAAGAATGCAGTGACATTTATTAGATGTGCCAATGTAATATAGATATGTGTGTAAATATACAGCACACAATATGTGTGTGTGTGTATATGTATATATATATAAAATACATACACACATATTTGCTTAGTTTGCTGGCTGCATCAAGGAAGAGAAGTGTCAACTTCCATTCCCTTAATGTGGCTGAGCTGTCCCTTAGATTCTGACAGTAGAAGTGATCTTGAAATATATCCATAATTAGTAAATCAATTTATGCATCTCTTTGTCTCCAGGTACAGGTAGAATAAGCACATCCCTCTGACTCTGGGAAGGTTCTAGCAGAGGACTGAGCTGGAAAGAGGATTTCTGGGTAATTTTGGCAATCCACACAGTGCCTGTCAGCCTCAGTTGACTGAGGCATGGAATGGGGATTTACTCTCTGTATGCCTTATAGAGTGCTGCGATGACTCAAAATGACGGGAAAGCTCCAGCAGCGACAGGCAGCTTCTTCCCAATGCTAGCACCCAGTGCAGCTGGAGAAAGGGGAAGGAAAGGGTCCCTTGAGCACTAAGAGAGAGGCCTCGAATCTGCAGAGACGCCTGTGGGCTGTCCTTAGGGCGGTGCATGGCTCCCACTCTGCGCTCCTCAGTCTTACTTTGCCCACTTGGGAAAGCGTCATCTTCCTTGTTTCAGTCACACTGGGTGAGGAGGGAGTCCTGCCACATGGAGTGGGACTCAGAGTGCAGTGAGACTGTGGACTCTAAGGTGGCTTTGCGTGGGCACCCAGGGCCTGGCAGTGTGAAGAGGATGTCCCCGCAGAGGGAGGTGGCCCAGCATGGGGGATGAAGCCCGAGGAGAGTGAGAAGGGCACTGAAGGAGAGCGGACCGGCGGGGGCTGTGGGGCCTGAGCAGGAGCAGGAGGCTGCGGACGCGGCTGAGTGGCCTGGCATGGGCACTCGGAACTCAGCAGGGACTGGAGCAATTCTTAGGGCTAAGAGTGACAAGCTTGTGCTTCTTAACGACATTCTTTAGGTTTGCTGGTGCCATGTGCTGGTAAACTGTAGCTGTTTCTACATCAAACACGCATAGGGCCCCACTGCAGCCCGCAGGCGAGTGCTCGGCACCCCCTGGCGGCCGGTGATAGCCCTCACGTGCGAGTCCACCTTGCTACAAAGTAATCAATGGGCGACAAAGACAGTGTGATGAGGAATGGGATCTTTACAATAGTCCCAAAGTGTGTCCTCACAACATAGTCACTGATTAAAACCAGAAAAATAATGTAGTCATGGTAGCGAAGCGTGACATCCACCACTTTATTCAATGATCAACGTGAACATCATTATTCTCGGGGCAAACTAAAGTCCCATGCCCCTGGCAGAGTGGGAGAGGAGCGCAGCGGGTGTCTGTGGTATTTCTGCCGAAGTTACGGAACCTGAATCTAATCGTGAGACAATACTTCAGGAAAAAACAAAGTGAAGGGCATTCTGCACAGTCAGTCTCCTGTGATCTTCACACGGTGTTCAGGTCATGAAGGTGAAGGGAAGACAGAGGGACTTTGTGGGTTTCAGGACACTGGAGAAGCCTGACAACCGAATAAGGCACATGACTCAGAAACGGATCCTTTGCTATAGAGGACACTACTGGGACGTTGGGTACATTTTGCATAGGGCCTGAAGGCTATGTGGAGTTATTGTATCAGTGTTAATTTCTTGATTATGGTTATAAGGTGAAAACGCCTTTGCATGAAAAACACACTAAAGTATTGGGGTGTTGGCATTTCATGTTGACAACCTGCTCTCAAAGGTTCAGGAAAAAAAGTCATACTATACTGGCAATTTTTCTGTAATTTTGATGTTGTTTCAGAATAATAAAATGAAAAATGAAACTGACCAAGTCCACCTGGTTAATAAATGACAGCTGTGGGTCAAAACTCAGGTGTGCCTTTCCCCTAAAGCCATGCCCTGCCCTGCAAACCACAAGGCCCTGCACATCCGAGTTGGCTTCTGTCCCTGCTCATCACCTACAAAACAGCCCTGCCCCCCCACTGCCGAGTTGCTGGAGCTGCACCCCACCTGCCCCTGCCCTGCACAGGCCTGACTCCCCCATTCCACACCTGGCCCAGCACTTACCACATAGTGTGGCAGGCAACACTGGGGCAGCTGAAAGACCCTGTGCTACAAATGGGCACTGGCCAGCTTCCTGCTCCTGGGAGCGGGGTCCATTGGCTGATCTCCTGCTGCCCGGAAGAGCTCCAGACTCCTCGAGGGTTTGAGATTCATCAAACCAATTCCAAATAAGCCAGGGGAGGTTTTCCTGTCTTGGTTTCCATCATCACCACTTCCACAGTTGGAGATTCCCTCCTAATCCAGGACTAGGACTTCATATATCACTGGGACACTTAGCATAATCCCCATTGCAGGTTGCCAGACATCACCCAAAGTGATGTTCTACCAAAGACGGAAACAGCAGCTCTCCCGTGACCTTCCAGGTGCTGCCCTGACTCCTCCAGCTGAACCTGCTAGGGCAGACGAAAGTGAAACATGCAGCATATTTCCCTGCCACTCTGTCCATGTGCCCACCAACTCAGCTGCAGGCTCCAGGGACACCAGCTGGGGGGGCCTGGGGCTCAGAGCTGAGCAAGGTTACAGGGCAGATAGCTTGGCCTGGATCAACCTGACCACCCTCAACTGGAGTGGTGACTTCTTCACTGTCTGACACTAAACCAGGAACCAAGTGGATCTCCCTGAGTGCAGGGTGGGTGACCTTAACCAGTGAAGGCATTTCTCTTCTTACAGACCTCGTATTTTTCTTTACCAGGTTCTGTGCTCCTCTCAAGGGTCCTAAGTGTTCCTCCAACCTGAGTGTTCTGCAGGGAAACATGCTGTGTAAACACCATGCCTATTTCCTGCTTGGAGCACAGGTTTTGTAGTAGAGCTCTCAGGGGTGTGGAAGAAGCCTGGCAGCCCACACCCTATAAATGCTGTTGTCCACCTGTATGCTCTGACTTGAAGGCAGAGACCCAAGCAGCTGGAGGCTCTGTGTGTGGGTGAGTTTAGCCCCATCTTCTGGGTGTTCTCCAGCATGAGGATCGCAGACAGAGAGGACCAGCCCAGCAGCCATAGGCCTGACCAAGGCCCAGGCTGGGAAGGAGGGCGACTCCCTATTTTCCACTGAGAGGTGTTTCACAGCACAGTCAACATGGATGACCTGCAAAGGCCCTCATGCTTTGATATCTTCCTTGGCCAGGTCCATCTCTACCAGGGGCTCAGCAGGGCCTAAGCCGGGGAGTGGGAGAACAGACCCCAAGGAGAAGGAAGACCTAATTACTGACTGTGAGAGGGTCATCACCCCCCTGATCATCACCTTGAGGGGCCTAGGCTGTGTTCATCTTTTTTTCATTCTCAGGTCGTTGATTTCTTAGAGCCTGAAAAGAAGGTAACTGCACATATGAGGGACAGATGGAGTGAGTCAGTGAGTGAGTGACCTCATCCTTGCTCCTAATAGACTGGGAGGGACAGGGCAGCTTTTCTGCAGAGCACGGAAGTCAGAGAGGTGAAGCCAGTTTCCCAGAGTAACAGTGAGGCACTGACAGAAAGGAGACTACAGTGGAGTCCAGGTCCCCGGGCTCCCCAGAGCTCTTTACTCTTCCTCCTCCTCAGCAGCCTGGAAACCCCACAACCTCCAGCCGGAGGCCTGAAGCGGGAGACCACGCCAGCTGCCAGATGATGCTGGGAATTTTCCTGGGTGCTTCGGGTCTTCCCAGCACTCTGGTCTCGCCTGCCCTGCCTCTCGGGCTCTGCCCAGCTTCCTGAGTCCTGACAGAGCACAGTGGGGGAGATGTTGGCAGAGGCGGCAGATGGGCTCACGGCCATCCCTCCTGCAGGAGCAGCAGCTGGAGCCGGAGCCATGTGGCTGTGCCCTCTGGCCCTCACTCTCACCTTGATGGCAGCCTCTGGCGCTGCGTGCGAAGTGAAGGACGTTTGTGTTGGAAGCCCTGGTATCCCCGGCACTCCTGGATCCCATGGCCTGCCAGGCAGGGATGGGAGAGATGGTGTCAAAGGAGACCCTGGCCCTCCAGGTACTGTGCTGGAGACCCCACCCTCTGCTGAGGGACACAGACCCCTTTTCAGAAGGCCTGTCTGTCTAGGCCCCTAGGCTGTGGGCCATAGTGAGCTGGGTGGGACCTGGTGGGCTCCTGGGGCCCTTAGGATGGCGCATCCTGGAGAGTCTGTCCTCATAGTGCCCACGGAGTGATAACTGGGACAGCCCCAGTGATAATGAGGGTCGAGTCTCACTAGCTCCAACCAGTTGTGGGTGACGGATCCCACACATCCATGTCCTGTTTCTCTGCAGGCCCCATGGGTCCGCCTGGAGATATGCCATGTGCTCCTGGGAATGATGGGCTGCCTGGAGCCCCTGGTATCCCTGGACAGGCGTGGAGAAGGGGGAAAGCTGGCGACGAGGCCTCAGGGTGAGGCCAGGCGTGGACAGGGGGCAGTGGGGAACCACTGGGCACGAGGACCTGGAATCGGTTTACACAGGGCTGAATGGGGGGACAGCAACCCCTGCAGTTCCCCAAGGCTTGGGCTCACCTACAGTAGAGCAGAATGTTGACTTGGAGGTGAGAAGCAGAGTGGTCTGGGAGGAGTGTGGGTTCACATTCAGGAAAGGCAGGTGTGGGAGGTCCTCCAGGCTCGTGGACCGGCGATGGGCGAACACGACGTCACGTGTGGGACGCAGAACCGCGTTGGGGCGGGGAGAGGCGGTCTGGACGCAGTGGCCTGGAGGAGTCGAAGGCGTGAATGCGGACCAGATATCCAGGCGAGGTGTGATCAGCGGGCGAGCGGACGGAGTGAGCTCGCGGGGAGCGAATGCCGTCAGGCAGTGCAGAGATGCATCATGGCTTGACCTTGGGTGGGAGGTGCGGAGAGCCGGACTGCCACAGGAGGCGGGCAGACACGCGAGCCCTTTGAGGACAGCAGGAAAGAGACGGGGTGGTCTCGAGCAAGGGGCCAAGGCTTCGCTAAAGAATAGGGACCCGGTGGTGGAGACCACTGGGTCCTTGTGGACCTCTGGCCTGGGCCCGGCGATCCTAGCAGCAAGGAAAAGGCAGAGTTCCAGATGTCAGGAGGCAAATGCTTGGTCGGGCAGAAGTGGGTCTTCACCTGCTGCCCCCTCTTCTGTGTGGGCGTCTCCGCAGGGCTTTCCAGTCATCTAGATGAGGAGCCCAAGCCACACTCCACGACTTCGACTAAATCCCTGCAAAAAAGGAAGGGTTAGGGGACCCGCCTGGGGCCTCACAGGTAGGAGTTTTCCACAAATTCTCCTCATTTCTCGAGCGCAGCTTCTACGAACACTAGAGATGACATACAGGCTTTGCACAGTGTCAGTCGTGGGGAAAGGAATGATGCTCGCTTTTCTGATGTCTTTGAATGGCCCAGAGGAGATAGAACCCGACACACTTCATTCCCCATTTCACAGGAAAGCAAGTTCTCCACCCATCTTACTTTCCACTGAATCCCAGGAAATGGCACCATTTCTGGCAATAAGTAATTGTTACTTAGATGAATGAATAAATGGAGGAGAGTCTAAAAATGAATTTAGAAAACTGCAATTGGAAGAGGAAGAGAAGACACAGAGAGAGGCAGATGGAGAGGCTGGGGAAAGTCTGGTGGCGGAGAGCCCAGGTGAGGGAGGTGGCTTAGAGACAAAGCAGTCAGTGGCCTGACCCAGTCTCCTCTGCTCCCAGCCCTCAGTCTACAGGAGTCCATACTGGCAGTAGGAGAGAAGGTCTTCTCCACCAATGGGCAGTCTGCCACTTTTGATGCCATTCAGGAGGCATGTGCCAGAGCAGGAGGCCACATTGCTGTCCCGAGGAATCCAGAGGAAAACGAAGCCATTGCAAGCTTCGTGAAGAAGTACAACACGTATGCCTATGTGGGCCTGACTGAGGGTCCAAGCCCTGGAGACTTCCGCTACTCAGATGAGACCCCTGTAAACTACACCAACTGGTACCCAGGGGAGCCCGCAGGTCGGGGAACAGAGCAGTGTGTGGAGATGTACACAGACGGGCGGTGGAATGACAGGAACTGCCTGTACAACCGACTGACCATCTGTGAGTTCTGAGAGGCATTTATGCCACGGGACAGGGAGGATCCTGTCTGGCCTTCAGTTTCCATCCCCAGGATCCCCTTGGTCTGTGAGATGCTGGAACTCCCTTTCAACAGAATTCACTTGTGGCTATTAGGGCTGAAGGCATCCTTAACCACTTCATTCCCCTGATGGGCCCTGACTCTTCCCCCAAATCACTGGCCAGCCTTGACACTTCCCTTGCAAACCCTCCCAGCACTGCACCCCAGGCAGCCACTCCTAGCCTTGGCCTTCAGCATGAGATGGAGCCCTCCTTATTCCCCATCTGGTCCAGTTCCTTCACTTACAGATGGCAGCAGTGAGGTTTTGGGGTAGAAGGACCCTCCGACGTCACACAGAGTGCCTGCCTCCTGGTCCCTTCTGCTCTCCCTCTGCAGCCCACTGCCTGCCCAGTGCCATCAGGATGAGCAGTCCTGGCCAAGCATAATGGCAGAAAGAGGTGGACTTCAGGGAAACCCTATGTGGAGCTAAGGCCACAGTGGAGATTCTCTGGCACTCTGAGGTCTCCAGGGCAGGCCTGGTCAGGTTCTCCAGGTGGTCAGAGAGCCCAGTGGTGCCCCAGAACAGTGGTGTCCAAGCCAACCCCATGACTGACATGTACAATTTACTCCTTTGAGTCTTTGGATGCCAACTCAGTCCCCTGACCTGAAGACAGCTGGCCTAGGCCTCTAGAGTAGAGCCCCCCAGTGCAGACGTGATCCAAGTAACTTTCTGCTGATGAACGACTCTGCACCCCACTTCAGACCTCGGTGGGCATTCACACCACCCCCTCCCCCCACACCACTGGCTCCACTTTCCCCTTCCATTAATCCATTCACCCAGATAATCATTAAAATTAACGTGTGCCAGGTCTTAGGATGTGTCTTGGGGTGGGCAGGGTACCCAGTGACTCTTGGGGATATTTATTCTCCCTGAGTCTGTGTCTTCATCTATGAAATGGGGATAAAATACTTGTTGCTGTCACAATTATTACCATCTCTCCAGCTAGCAAAATTACTACCAGAGCTGTTACTAAACACAGAGGCTATTGACTGAGCACATACCACGTGCCACACACCTTGACAAGCAATTCTAATACAGCTTATTATGTACTATTCAATCTTCACGCAATGTCACGGGACCAGTATTGTTTACCCATTTTCTATAAGGACACTGAAGCTTGGAGGAGTTAAATGTTTTGAATATTATTCCAGAGAGCAAGTGGCAGAGGCTGGATCCAAACCCACCTTCCTGCACCTGAAGCTTATGCTTCCAGCCACCCCACTCCTGAGCTGAATAAAGATGATTGAAGCATAATAAATTGTGAATGTGTTCACATGAGTTTCCATAGCTTTGGTTCCAAGAAACATCACATTTCTGTATTTTTGTAAATCAAATGAACTCTGGTTCTGAGCCCCCACTTTCCTCAAGATTGGAAAATTCAATCTCAGGATGTGCTTTCTTTGTTTGATGGGAGGGGCGACCTGCTCTCCTCCCTGAGATGGTGCAGGGGGATGGGGAGCTACAGACACCATTTGGAAGAACACATGGACATCATGAATCCACATGGTCCATTTGTGGGTGGGGATACCATGCCTTCCATCCTCCATGCAGCCATCTGAATGATTTCTGCAGCCCAGCAGTGATGGTGGCACTCAGGGCTCAGTCCCAGGCCTCAGTGAGCCATCCTAGTCTCATGTTGGCTTGGAATGGGACCACTCTCCCATGACCCAGGGCTGTGCAGGAATGAGACAACATCCCCAATTGCTTGAGGAGGCAGCCACATATGTGTCCCACCTCCAGAAAGGCTCCCACTCCTCTCACCCTCACACCTGAGAACGCTCTCTTTCATGGATTTACTGCTTTTCTTGGGCAGAGAGAAGCTCTGGGTCAAAACCCACAAAATCAGATGAGAAATAGGGGAACAATTTATGATTGTTTTCTGAATGATAATTTTTAATCTGGTCACCATTCCACATGTGCTTGGGACCCAGCACAGCAATTATTGAGCCTTCCCCTAAATTAAGAGAAAACCAAGTAGAAGCATGTACAAATGTTCCTCGACTTATGAGGTGGTTAGGTCCTGATAAACACATTGCAAAATGATATCTTAAATGGAAAATGCGTTTAATACATCTAACCTACCAAACATCATAGCTGAGCCTAGACTACTTTAACCATGTCCAGAACCCTATGTTAGTCTGCAGTTGGGCGAAATTATCTAACACAAGCTCTATTTTATAATAGGGTGCTGACTATCTCATGGAATTTATTGACTACTATACAGGAAGTGAATGAATGGTTGTATGTGTACTTGAAGTGTGGTTTCTCCTGAATTCACATCGCTTTTGGACCAATGTAAAGTCCGTAAATTATAAGTCAAACCACCATAAATCCAGGACCATGTGTATTCCCAACTTTATAAGTAAATACACCAAGTCAATGAAAATTGATGTCTTCTCATTTCTTGTTAGGATTATTTTTACTTTCTTTATGCTTTTATTTGCTATTGTTACTATTTTAAAATATTTTAAATTAATTATTGCTGGTTTATGAGAAAAACTTTTCGTTTACTTTTTATTCATCTTATACCCAACCATCTTTTTGGATTCTCATTTTTTTCCTAATATTAATACTTCTAAGATAATTGATTCTTTTTTTTGTTTGTTTTTATTTTTGAGACAGAGTCTCTCTTTGTTGCCCAGGCTGGAGTGCAGTGGCACAATCTTGGCTCGCTGCAACATCTGCTTCTCGGGTTCAAGTGATTCTCCTGCCTCAGCCTCCCAAGTAGCTGGGATTACAGGCGTGTACCACCACGCCTGGCTAATTTTTGTATTTTTAGTGGTGACAGGGTTTCACCATGTTGGCCTGGCTTGTCTTAAACTCCTGACCTTAAATGATCCTCCTGCCTCGGCCTCCCCAAATGTGGGGATTACAGGCATAAGTCACCTTGCCCAGCCAATGATTCTTTTATATTTTATAGATAAATAGTTACATTTACGAAGGATGGAAATTTGATCTGTCCTTTTATGACATTTATATTTTTTCCATCTCATTTCTTAGCTCCACCACAGGAGCTCAGCTAAGCGGGGAGTAGAAGGGACTGAGCGGGACATCCTTCCCTCCTCCCATCTTGGACCTGGGATGCGAACGCACACTGACCACCTCTGGCTCACTCTCTCTCTTCTGCCATGAAGCCTACAATGAACCATGGTGAGGCAGGAGGGTTATGGAGGGCTCCAGGGACAAAGCCTTTGTGAACACAGTAAGGTTTTATTTTTGTTTTTCATGAGAGACACAGGAAACTGTAAAGGAATACTTGAATTTGGGCCTGACCTTGTCATATTTTTTCTCATAGAAAGATCATTCTGGCTGATACACCAAAGATGTTCCTGAGATCTGCAGGAGTAGATGCTGGGGGACTTCCCTGAACAGCTGTAATTATGTAATAGTTCAGGTAAGATTTTTTTTTTTCTTAGTTAGAAGCCTACAGAACCAAAGAATGAGTCATGGACAATAGCTATTAGTTATTCCTCAATTATCTGCCCCGGTGATGGCTCAGTAATGGTAGGGTTGCTGGGTTCAGAAAATAAAAATACAGGCCAGGCATCGTGGCTCACGCCTGTAACCCCAGTACTTTGGGAGGCCGAGGCAGGTGGATCACGGGGTCAGGAGTTTGAGACCAGCCTGGCCAACAGAGTGAAACTTGTCTCTACTAAAAATACAAAAAAATTAGCGGTGCATGGTAGCAGATGCCTGTAATCCCAGCTGCTTGGGAGGCGGAGGCAAGGAGAATCGCTTGAACCTGGGAGACGGCGGTTGCAATAAGCCGCGATGGCACCACTGCACTCCAGCCTGGGTGACAGAGCGAGATTCTGTCTCCAAAAAAAAAAAAAAAAAGAAAAGAAAAATATAGGACATCCAGTTAATTTGAATATCAGATACATAGGTAATTTATTCAGTGTGTCGTATGCAATATTTGGGACACACTTATTCCAAAAATTTATTCAATGTTTATATGAAGTTCACATTTCACAGATTCCAAAATGCTTTGCATTTTACCAGGCAACCCTTCCTGTAGGGGCCTGGACAAGCAGAGACTTTGGGTGAGGCAGGAGACACTTCCTGTGGTTAGTGGCATGTGACGATGTGACTTGGGACCATACCATCAGACTTGTACCCCAATGCCTTTTGGCTCAGGAATGAATGTGAAGTCTTTCCTGAGCTCTGTACATGGTGAGCAGGGCCACTGAAGCATGGTGTGTATGAGCACAGATAAGGCTGGTATTTCCAGCACACTCTGGCTCTCCCCTCGGCAGGACATCCAGGAGCCTGGGGTAGGAATCCTCTGGGTTTGCCTCATTTCCACCCGCTGCAGCTGCCCAGCATCCACCTAGCCTAGCGTGAGTCTTCTCCTGGAGGCTTCCAGAGGTGTTTCCATGAATAAATAGGGAGGACGGCAAGGCATGACAAAGGGACCGGAGCAAAGGAAAGGACCAAATGTGGCTGGCATGCCTCCGACAAGCCTTCTGGAGTGTGAGTATCTGTCAAAGCAGAAATGAAGACTTGGGAAGAGGAGCTTCTTATGGTGTCTAACTGTCTCTTTCTCTGGGGCAGTGGGCTCCAGACACTTTTAGAACCACACGTACAAAGCCCCCCAGGGCTTAGGCTCTCCAGGCAAAGCTGTGCTCGGGCAGGGGCATAGGACAGGCAGGCAGCAGGGGCAGGAAGGGCTAGCAGCTCTTCCCTGGCTAACAGGTGGGGTTCTGCCTCCAGCTGCCTCCCCAGAACAGAAGCCAGATGAGCTGCTCCGAAGTCACCTTGGGGAGTTAGGGAACGCATCTGCCACATACACTGTGTTGGGAGAGAACTTTCAGCTGACTGCAAGCTTCCCAGGCTGCTCCCAGTGGAAAGTCTGACTCCTGGACTGGGAGGTTCCTTCTCTGCCAACACCCTGCTCTGAGCCTACAGACAGGCAGTGAACATTGCGGTTGGCCTCTCCCTGTAGCTCCAGCTGAGCCTTTGGGGTCATATCTCAAGGGGCTATTAAGGGAAATCATCACCTCAGGAACGGTATCTCTTTTTTTTGCTATAGTCACAATTTAAGGAATTGTGTGAAACAGTCAAGTGGGGGCAGACATTAGATTTCAAGAGATCTCAACCACTCCAAAATATGGCCTGAGCCTGTGCCACCCAACCTCCTCGACCCCATAGACTTCATTCCTTCATTCATTCACTTGTTCCAACTTTCGCCAGTATTTCCCAAGTACCTACCTTGTGCCAGCCTGAAGGCGGGAAGCACACAGTGAGGAGGGGACAGAACCCCCCTGCTAGCCAGGGAAGAGCTGCTAGCCCTTGCTGCCCCTGCTGCCTGCCTGTTCTGTGCCCCTGCCTGACCATCATGGTCTCATATGGTCTTTCATTGACTGAAAAGTCCTCATGCACCACTTGACTGTAGTTAAGATGGCTGACTCTTTCCACTCTGATTTCCCCTCCATCTCATTGCTCCTCACGCCCCTCATGTTGGAGTGCTCATAGACATTTTTAGGCTCTGGCTAGGGATGAGACAGCTTTATGTAGTTTGCGGTCACTTCTATGTGTGGTTGCATTACTGCTAGTCTTCCAGCACAGGAATGGCTTCCAGGAATATTGTTCTGATTCAGCCAGCAGGGTCAGAGATGATATCTAAATAATAAACATTTCCCCAGCACCTGTTTTCAGAAATACGTCAGCAGTGGAGGAGAAACAAGTATGGATCCAGAAACTAGTCTATGGAAAACTCTCTCCCCTATCATATGTATAGAGTTGTAAGCTTGTAAGGCTGTTCACATCCATGCCTATTTAAAATGGAAGTTCTCTCCTGCAGAGAATATACTCAATAGTGCAATATATACACTTATAACACAGACATATAAATACGTCTCTTTTGAACAATTTCGGTAAATGTATTTTGCTAGAGCTCCTGTGTAGTAAGGCAGAACTAGAGGAGTACTGCAAATAGAAGCAAGCTTTTGTGTGAAATGAGATGTCTTATGCATCTCACTGTATCTGATTACATCTTAGCTTGTCTGATATATTTTATCCCAGTGAAGTCCACAAGTTCTAGATGTGCACACTAAGAAAGATTACATTTTATAACTCGATATGAAATATTAACATCTACAAAGACAACATAAAACTCAATCTACTGTTACAACAAGACCGTCCATGACAGGTTGGGAAAGAGTTAAGTAGCAGCCACACCCCAAAGACCAGCTGTGAGAGCACAGAGGCATCTGATGGTGCCTCTGCCTGTTCTGCACTCTCCTTGAAAGCAACATGGAGCACA